CCCCAAAACCCCAAAACCCCAAAACCCCTTGCTGCTTTATTTAGTTTACTTAGCGAATTATGAAATCAAAATTAAAAATCATATCAAATATTTAGGTCAGGCATATAATCTTACTTTAATCCAAGCTATTGCAATAATTTATCCATCAATTCATTTTCTACTGGCTTCACCACTAATGTTTAAATTAAAAATTTGGTTATATTAACTTACTAAATTGACTCATTCCAGATTTATAGCATTAATTTTGGTAAGTTTCTGTTGAGTGTGCAGTCAAACCAACAATGTAAGCTCTACTCTTGGTTGAAATATTAATTTCTTTCTCAAGCTATCTTATCTTGTCAGATGCCTCATAACCATCCATAATTGGCATTGAAATGTCCATAAATATGAGATCATAGTTCTTTTGGTAACAATCAGAGCAAGCTTTCTGCTAAAGCTTCGTAGTTACTATATTAACTGCTTCAACTCCATTGTATCCCTAAATTAATAAACAAATTATATTTTACTGAATGAATCTTTAGGTTGTATTTTATTGATAGCAAGGTCTCCAAAGAAAAAATATTGAAATTATTATCATCAACAATGAGTATTCTAATACAATCACAGTTTCTGTTATTAGAATTTTCATAAGATGCTGGCTCTATCTGTCCCATCAAGCTTTCAATCCTTATAAAGTTATCAAGTTCATTATATTATCTATCAGTATATTATAGCTTCATTTCTTCAGTCTAGTTGTGAGATGCCATCATCTATTAATTCTAAATTACTTCTAATGTTTCGTGTCTGATAGTTAGTGGCAGCATTAAGTTGACATTTTCCTATTGAATCTTTTAAAATGTAGCTGATGGCTACCTTGAATGATTTTTAGATTTCTTTGTAGTATCTTTGAAGACCAAAGAAGAATATTACTTTTGATCATCATTTGAATGGCCTGTATTAAAAGAATTTTCATTCACAATCATCCTTTTTATTAAATCCCTGTTAGTCTCTTGATCTTCATTAGGCAGCAATTCATCACTCGTCTATTGGGCTTACCTTTAGCTATATTCTACAGCAGGGTTTATTTTGTTAAATCTGCTCATAGTTTCAAGTGTTGGTATTCTTGGAATTCCTCGTTGTATGGATGAATAATTAGACTGAAGTTAAACTTAAATCTCAGTTTATTGTCTAGCCCTTATCATCATAGCTAAAGAAATATCTTAAGCAGGCATTAATAACTCAAAGTAAAATGTAGTGCCCTAGCCATAAGTACTCTGAACTTTAAGCTTGCTATTCATTTACATGAGTATGTTATCACATATTGTGAGGCCAAGTCCGATTCCTGTGGGATTAATTTCATCATTTTAATTCAACTTTCCAAAGAATTTAAAAAGTTTCTTTTAATCTGAGTTCTTAATGCCTATTCCCGAGTCTATAACAGAAAATCTCACATTAATAAATCGCTCATATTCCGAGGCCTGCATATTATTAGCTAAACTGTGAGCAGAGAATTTCTTTTGCAAATAGGTTTCATGAATTCTCTATACTTTGATTTTGATAAATCCAGTTGAAGTAAATTTAAGTGAGTTTTATACCAAATTTACAACTATTTGTACTATCCTTTCTTTGTCAAATGTAAATTCTTCATTCTATATCTCGTCGTCTATTTCAACAATCTTTTCCAAATTCTTGCGACTCATCTAGATGCTGATTAAGTCAAAACTGAATTCAACTATTTCAATTGCCTTAAACTTTATAGGCTTCTATGTAAATTTTCCCGATTTTATCTGAAAGTAATCTAGAGTATCATTCACTAAGTATCTAAGTAGCTGAGAGGAGTTTTTTGAGACTCTAAGCCAGGTATCTGCATCTTTGTCTTTTATTAGCCATCCTTCATTAGCAGGCAGCTTTTATAACTTACTCTAAATCATCTCATGCATCATTATTATTGATAGTAATGGTGTTCTCATATCATGAGAGGTAGATGCTATCATTATTTCTGAAAGCTTAGCCATTGATCGGTCATACTAGCTTCTGATAATGTCTGTGTTATCTCTAAGTACAATGAGCCTAGCTTTGGTCTATTTGAAAATTACATTTTTTAGTTTAATTTCTAGAAACATATCTCCCTCTTATGAGCCGTCCTACCTGTTTCTTTTACTTTTAGAAACTAAGGTGATCTTTTCATCGTTTTAGAGTGTATGAATTATATCCCATAGTGTCTCTTTATGATGGATTTGATTTCTGTTCTCATTGTTGTTGTTCTCTTGATTTATTGGTTGATTAGAATAGGAAGATAGTTATATCTATGATTGATTAACATTATTAGCTATTGAAAATGAGACTTATTCTAGATCTGGATTGCTTGAGTCTAAAATATCCTCTCCCTGGAACTTTTGAAAAACAAGATGCTTGTCAGTCTTTTCATAATTCATTGAAATTTACTCAAATTCCTCCATTAAGTCATTTTTATGCATAATTTAAGGAGGCACTGCTACATGACCTTCTTCATTTTTATGCTGAAAGTTATTATTTGAGAAAAATTTTAAAATTGAATTAGAATCGCTTTCTTCTTCATCTTCTCTCGCTAAAATCAATAAAGGATCTGGAAAGAGCTTCAAGATTTCAATCAGGTTTTGATTTTCCTATAAATTCATTAAGTTTGTAAATAATATTTCTTACTTATTCCAGCATTAGATTGTGATGAAAATTGACCTTCTATTGCTTATCAGAGAAGAAGGACAAGAGAACATAGATGACATGAGATAACAAAATAATAAACAAAAAACTTAGTTGTTCAGAAATCTGCTCATTTGGTGGGATTTTTATGACATATACAATAAAATGAAACACTGCGCAAACCAAATAAGTTACAGATGTTGCGATCCAATTTATATTGCTCATCATTAGATGCAAGTACCAAAATGTCATGTGGAATACATTACTAAATTAATTTCACCTAGAAAGGAATCACTTACTTGAATAAAAATGTGTAAAAGTTGTACTCCTCCATTCTTGGGTTTACTGATATAGTTGTCAAGAGCATCCAGAACGGTATGCAAATTGAAATTAGGAGTTATGGGTGGAATCTCAAAGAGAGGACGATTAATGTTTGGAGTCCTAGTGTCACCCAGTTAAGTATCTCGTACTCTTGTATAATCAGATATTGCTGTCCATTCTCCTTAACTATTTAGGAGAAAACTATTCTTATTATTCTAATCAAAGTCATTATGACTCCTGTCTTGAAAACCTATTAAGTATTGATATCGTTATACTGCTTCCTTATTGACTAATCTTTGAATCTCAAAGTATATAAATTGATTGCCATTTTAATTTACAATTGGAACTCTGCTCTTTAGTCTTCGCGGGGTTTTGGGGTTTTGGGGTTTTGGGG